GACACAGACATTTCTAGAGTAAGAGTTCAGCAATGTTGTCAGATACAAAATCAGTATTAAAAAAACAATAGCGGGCGCCTGGGTGGCTCAGTTGGTTGGGCAACTGCCTTCGGTTCAGGTCATGATCCTGGAGTCCCTGGATCGAGTCCCGCATCGGGCTCCCTGCTCAGCGGGGAGCCTGCTTCTCCCTCTGACCCTCCCCCCTCTCATGTGCTCTCTGTCTCTCTCATTCTCTCTGTCTCAAATAAATAAATAAAATCTTTAAAAAAAAAAAAAAATCAATAGCATTACCACTCTAGTAGTAACAGAAATGTAGTGGGGAAAAAAAATCACATTCAATATAAGCCTAAAAACTATAAGGGTTCTAAGAAAAAAAGTTTGTTTTTTTTTTTTTTAAAGATTTTATTTATTTATTTGAGAGAGAGAATGAGAGAGAGCACATGAGAGGGGGGAGGGTGAGAGGGAGAAGCAGACTCCCTGCCAAGCAGGGAGCCCGATGCGGGACTCGATCCAGGGACTCCAGGATCATGACCCGAGCCGAAGGCAGTCGCTTAACCAACTGAGCCACCCAGGCGCCCCCTAAGAAAAAAAGGTTTTAAGAATATGTAAAACTATGGAGAAAATTATAAAGCAATACTAGAGGGTGTACTCAAAGACATAAATTAATGGAGAAGTAGAACACGTTCATAGACTGGAAGCCTCAATAATGTCAATTTTTTCCCCTATTAACCCTTTATATTAACAATAAAAATCTCAATAGTTTTCATTAGACCATGACAAATTTATCTCAAAATGAATGCAAAATAGCAGAGAGCCAAGACAATTTTGAAGAATGAGGTGAAGGAAACCTGTCCTAGTCAGTAAAGCTCAACAGTTAGGACAGTATGCTAATTAATGAAGAAATAGACAAACAGGACAGACAGCCCATAAACAGATTGACATATATGCAGAGATTTGATATATAAACAGAGGTGATACAACTAAATAGTTCTGGGACAACTGGTTATTCATTTGAAAAAATATATTAGAGCTCAACCTCCTACTATACACAAAAATACATTCTAATAGATCAAAGATCCAAATGCAAAAAGCAAAACTTTAGAAATGTTGGCAAGGATATGGAAGACAGAAATGTGCACATGGTTGGGGGAATGGTGGTGATGTAAACTGGTTAGGCACTTTAGAGGAAAATTTAAAAATATCTAATGAAGAATCCTTAAGGCAAATTTTCATCCATATATACAAGGAAGATGTATTGATCCAGCACTGTTTATAACAGCAAAATACTATGAACAACCTTAAATGTCTCTTAACAAGAGAATATTTTTTTTTATAAAACAGAACACCATCTAGCAAATAAAATGGATAAATTAGAAGTATATGTCAAGATAAAAATATCAAAACCAAAGCCGAGTGAAATAAATAAGTTGCAGAACGATCTCAATAACATACCTGAAATTATACCTTGTAAAAACAATGCTACATTATTGTTTATTCACAGAGAAACACATTGTAAAAATACAAAAATATATACGAGAATGAAAACATTAAGTTCATTATAGTAACCTCTAGGGAAGGAGGTGAATAGTACACAGGGGCTTCAGCTTTGTTTATCAGAATATTCTTACAAAATGAGTAACTGAACAAACAGGACATGATGTTAAAGTTTGACACAGCCAGATGGTGGGCCTGAGCTTTCACCATATTGTTATCTATTCTTGTATATCTGAAATATTTCATAAAAAATAAAACCCCTAATGCTTGTAACTCCCTATTTTTATCGGGAGAATGCTTCTCCTGCTGGCAGTGCATTTAAAGACTATTCGAAGTGCTGTCAAATCCGGACCTCTGAAGTTCTTAACTGCTCTGCTGAGTGAGAAACAGACAAGTACCGGCAAAAGCTAAAGAACTCACATTTCTTTTTCTCTTAACAGGAAGTATGACTTCCCAAGCCTTTAACCATCTTCATGACTCTTAGGATCCCAACCCAGCTGAGTAGATTCTCTGTCTTGGATATAAAATTCTAGGCAGGGCCTATATGTGGGTGACTTCTAGGTTCACTACCATAACCAACATTCAGAAACCTGCACAAATCCCTACAGTATATGGGGGTTATCTGGATATTGTCAGGAATAAATTGGTGACTCTCAGCCCTGGAGGTCCTCCACCTGCCCTATCAACAACAAAGAGGTCAACCCTTGGAGGCTCTCCTAGAATCAGCTAGAATCCCAGGTGTAAGAGAATGCAGTATACATGTATTTGGGAATCCGTTCACCTCTCTTCACCCACACCGGCATCATCTTGTCCAAGCCATCACCATTCATTGCCTGGAATATTACAACAGCATTCTATTGGTAACCCTACTTCTGGTGTGTGTCCGATCCAATCTCCACAGAATTTAGCACTCAGAATGATCAGTTACGTCAAGTTTCTAAAACACAAACCTGGTACTGTTCCCCTTGTTTGAACCCAGTACCTTCCTATTGGATTTAGAATAATATAAACAATTTTAGGAAGAGTCTGAAGATCTGGGCTGCATCCCCCCCTCTAAACTCTTCCTCATGCCCCTTTCTTGCTCACTGTACCTCAACTAGGCTGCCCTTCATTCAGTCAAGACCACCAAACTCTTTCTCACCTCAGGGATTTCAAAAGGTTATCTTCTTTGGAACACCCATTCCCCTCTCCTTTCCATGGATAAATCCTATACATCTTGTAAGTCTTATCTTAAATGTTATTTCCTCACAAAGGCCTTCCTTGAACCCAAGGCCAAATCAGATGCCCTGGTATACTCTCAAATGGTACCCTGCACTTTTCCCTTTGCATCATTTACAAGAGTTTATGTTTACTGGTATGACTGCATATAAAGCCTGTGAATCTTGCTGAAGTGGGGTTATGTTCAAGACACTCCTCTGTTCAAAGCCTTTCAAAGGTTCTCCACCAGATGCAGAATATGGGCCAGTCTTTTTAGCAAGATGCTTAAGGCTGGCCACAATTTAGCAGTAGGGTATAACACGAAAGCAACAGGAGGCTAAAGATCTAAGTCAGAGTTACTAACTATGGGATTGTGGGCAAGTTTTCTGGCTTCCCAGAGACCAAATTTATCTAATAAAACAGTGGAATGTATTAGTACATCTGGTATGGTTGCTAAGATAATTGAATGTCAATATATGTGAAAACACTTAGAAGTAACCTAATATTCATTATTTTGGTTTTTTTGTGTGTAAAATATATGTAAAATTTACCATTAGTGACATTTATAGCACATTCACAATGTTGTGCAAACATCACCATTTACTAATTCTTTTTGTTACTCCTTTTTACACTTCTCCCTCTCAGCCCATGACACAGTGCTGTTTGGAATACCTAAGACCTAAATGTAATCTAATTTCCTTCATAAATTTATTCCTGATCTCTAAGTGCTGGGAATAACTGCTGTTATTTATCTAAAAACACTTAATGCTTATCTTTCTCCTAATACAGTTGAATTCTTACCCAATTGGCCCACTAGCCTAGGAGTTCTTTGAGAACTAAAACCATTATTCATCCACTGTTATTTCTGAAGAATGTTTCTTTAGATGACTTCTGCTCATAAGGGTTTTCTTTCTGATTCTATACTTAAACTAGAAAAAGTGATTTTTTTTTTTAAGATTTTATTTATTTGATAGAAAGAGACAGCGAGAGAGGGAACACAAGCAGGGGGAGTGGGAGAGGGAGAAGCAGGCTTCCCGCTGAGCAGAGCCCGACGTGGGGTTCGATCCTGGACCCTGGGATCATGACCTGAGCCTAAGGCAGACGCTTAACAACTGAGCCACCCAGGCGCCCCGAAAAAGTGATATTTCTAACTGAATGGTAGAAAATATAGAGATGGTCTTTTTCATATTAGAACAAAAAACTCTAAGTTAAGAGGGTGTGTAGTTAGTGTCGACAAGACACAGCCTTTTGAGGTGCAGCTTTCATGTATTAACAGATGTTTAAAAACCTAGAAACCAAGATTAAGAAGGTCTTTAAGTCCCAGTCCCCTGCATGTTAACAGTCATAGTCTACAAAGAACTAATTCCTTTGCTGTTTTCTTTCGAGCTCATTTCTCTTTTAGGTTGCTATGCACATTTCCATAGTACATCTGAGGTAGGAAGTTCATGGGCCTCTCCCAAGCAGGCTATGCCTAGCAGGCTAATAAGAACTTGACTGCCCTTCCAAGACAGCTTTCCCCTTTCAGTAATAGGATTAACAAATAACAATACATGGGTATACAACAGTTTACAATGTGCTTTCACATACATCATCCCATTTAGTTCTCCTGGTAGAACCTACCCATATAAACCCTAGGAAGCCAGAAGTATGTAAGACTCTAGATTTTATGACTTTCTGGATTCAGAGCAATCATGTTCCTTTCCTCAGGGCCAAGAAAGGTGAGGAAGAAAGCTACAGAAGTAAATTTACATTTATTGCATTCTTAAAAAAAAAAAAAAAAAAGGGCGCCTGGATGGCTCTGTTGGTTAAGCGGCTGCCTTCGGCTCAGGTCATGATCCTGGAGTCCTGCGATCGAGTCCTCCTGCATCGGACTCCCCGCTCGGCGGGGAGTCTGCTTCTCCCTCTGACCCTCCCCCCCCCATGCTCTGTCTCATTCTCTCTCAAATAAATAAAATCTTAAAAAAAAAAAAAAAAATGGGGGGGAGATCCCAAGCAGATTCCGTGCTGAGCACAGAGCTGGTCACGGTGCTCGATCCCAGGACCCCAAGACCATGAACCAAGCCGAAACCAAGAGTTGGACACTCAACTGAGTGTGCCACCCAGGTGCCCCACATTTATTGTATTCTTTATCACATTCCAACCACCAGACAGTAAGCACCATGAAGGAAGGGACTGCATCTGTTTTGTTTACCAACACAATTCCTAACATCATGCATACACTATGCCAGGCACATATTGGAATTTCAGTAAATATTTGTGAATTAATAAATGAATCAGATTATAATGTGATGCAGAAAATGGGTATTTCTTAGGAAGGTCACCAAATAATGCTAAGCATGAAGATACTTGCCTTATTTTGTGGAGAGTTTGTCATTTGTCACAGTGATTCTAGAGACCAAGAACACTACATTTCAACAAAAGAGATCAGCCCCACTAACCGGTATAGCTCTTAGCTACCCCTTACCTTGATTCGTGAACTGGGGTTCAGCATGATGTATTTAATGGAACCTTGGATGTTCTCTGTCCAGGAGACCAGCCAAGTAACCTTGTTATCATGCCGGACCTCTTTCCATTTATGTCCTGTAGGAGGAGAAGGAACCTTGGCATCTCTGTGGAAATAACAAAGCAGGAGGGCAGTGAAATGAGAAGCGAGGGACAGTTTCACCTTTCATGACCTAAAGTGGATAAATCTGCTGAGCATGTATTTCCATGTTTCCTCCTCATCACCAGTCAGTAATTGGAAAGTATTTGGAGATACCATGTTGTTCCCAACAGTTCTGCGTAGCCTGGGAAAAGATCCCAGCAACAGTACTCCCAAGAACAAAGGAACCCCCCTGCCCCCTTGATTTCTGGCCCAAACAAAGAACTGCACTCACTTGCTACAGTTGATGATGATATCCTCAGGCATGATCCGTCTCTTCAGCATGCCCATCTTGGGGTGGTTGCCACGGCCACGGAAAAGCCCAGGAGGTTCTATCTTGAAGTTGGCAATCCTCTCTCTGTGGTTATCCATAATACAGAAGCCATATTCTTTCAGTAATTTTTCATTCTCCTCTTTGATTTTCTGGAACACAGCAAGGAAGTACTCAAAATGGGCTCAAATCGCTGTTCCCTATTCATATTTTATCTCTTATTCAAGAACAGCTCAAGGTACAGAAAAGTCTAAAAATCACTAACAAATAAATGCAAATGTGGGTGCCTGGCTGGCTCAGTTGGAAGAGCATATATGACTTTTCATCCCAGAGTCATGAGTTTGAGCCCCACACTGGGTGCAGAGATTACTTAAATAAATACAACTTTTTAAAAAACTTTTTTAAAAAGAGAGGAATGCAAACAGGGATAACCTCTCATAAAGTTGTGAAACTTTAAGTACAATAAAATTCCCCAAAATATCTACCTTTGAGGACTGACTCCAACTACAGATTCAAAACTGATTTTAAAGGATTTATGTGTGAGAACATGTTACCTAGATATTTTTAAATATAACTTTAAAAATTAACATCATTTTATTGAGTAGTGTCAAAATGGCAGATGGGGAAGAGTCTATGATGAGCCTCATAAAGAACATCTCCATGTTTTCTAGTAGATTCCAGACACATTTAGTTGAACAGCATTTCAGATGGTTTTTCAAGCTCTAACATACCTGTCACAGATTCCGTCCTAGGTATATGGATACATACATTGTATACTTTGCAATCCTTGCTCCAAAAAAGGAGTGGGAGTGGAACCTGGAGCCTCCTTACCCTCTGCTGACTATATCTTCATATTATACTTAGAAATTCAACCTAACTAAGTCCTGTTGCCTTGCGGGTGGGAACAGATTCAGAACTTGCTGGCAAGAGGTGTCCTTGGCCAGGGCTCTGACAAGGTGATACTTGTGAAACCTCCCTATCTTTGGATCGCTATTTACAAGAACAAAGTGGTTTTTAAGTTTTAAAACACCCCTGAAGTAAAGAATAAACCAGGTTTCACTAATTTGGAATATTGAGAAGACTCAACTGAGACTGAAAAGTCTGACGCAATTATCATTCTTATAGTAACTCATAATTTTTTTTTGAAAAAAATTTTGAAATTCCTTAAAATTCGTAACTACTGGACCTCCAGCTTGGAGGGAAAAAAAAGACAGATAAGACAAACTCTAGCCTGGATTTCTTTAGATCAAGGGCTGGCAAACCTTTTCTAAATAGAAAATATTTTAGGCTTGAGGGCTACAGTCTCTGTTGGAACTACTCAACTCTGCCACTGTCACATGAAAGCAGCCATAGATGATATGTAAACAAGTAGATGTGATTGTGTTCCAATGAAACTTTTTAATAAAGATAAGCAGCCTACAGTTTGCCTACGGGTACTCCAGAAGAAAACGACATCCCCCCGGATACTGGAAAGATCCTTCTGGAGTGGAGATGGAGATCGATGAGCATGGCTAGATTCCAGGGTAAAATAGATCAAGAACAAGGAGGTATACAGAGGCAGTATTATTGTAGCTGTCTTAAAACCCTAAAATCCAGGAGCCACTGTGCAGGTCTGCCCATCCTCAAATACTGTATTACTGGAGTTACTGACTTGATTTTACGTCACAAGAGAACCAGGTTCTTACATTGAGCCATTAAATAAAGTGATCATTCACAATTTTCAGTCTATGTAAAACCCTTAAGAAAATTTAAACTTTACTAGACCAAGAATCCTCAATCTTTAGTATAGAGCCATGTGAAATTACTAAAGTCAAATCTGTATTTTAAGAACCAAGAAAATTAGATGAACTAAACACTATTCCAAAGTTCTCCAGAGGTTTATGAAATTCTGTAGTACCAGTTTCTCTTCCTTGCTCATCTGTTTCCGAGCTTCTGACTGTGCTTTGAAATACTGGCTCATCTGGGTAAAATCACATTTGCTTAGGTTGGTGATAATATTCTTCTCTTCATTAGTCATCTCCTAGTCAAAAAAAAAAAAAGGCGGGGGGGAACAGAAGAAGGTAAATACACTATTTACCCCATAGGTTTCTTTGTGATTACAGCAAAGCACCATTTTTTTCAACTAAACGTGTCTAGAGAGGTATAGTCTAAATTAATGAGTTTTGAAAAAAAAGAAACATAACTTTATTACTTTGTTCTATGTAAGATATTTAATAGAAAAATGCTTTACATGATTTTTCCTTGAAAAAGGTTATGGAACTCTTATGTAATTTCTTGGGCTCCTTACACCCTGCCACATCCGCAAGCATATGTATCCCACAGTTGGAGAAACATGAATATATATCATTTGCTTTAGTAATGAGAGAAATATTTCCATACTCATTCTCTCTTAGCAACATTATCCCTGCTCTACTCACTTATTAAATGTTATTTCCAGAGCTATTCAGAAAGTAAGCTTCAGCTCAGCCTCTGTCCACATAATCCAAATTGAGAATGAGATTGTTTAAAATCACCTAGACAGATGTAGGAAATGTGATTTCAAGAGCAGAAAGTACCAAAAGCAAGTAAGACAGAATCAGAATGGAACATCACATTAACATCTCTCTTTGCAATAGCAGATAGAGAACAGGCAGTCCTGCAGAGAGAAACTTTCCTCTGCTCAGCTAAAGCTGAGGTTTTTTTGTGTGGCCTAATAAACTCCCTCCTGCAGCCATATGAGAGTGTGAGAGGAAAGAAATATAAGTATTGTTGGAAAGAAACCCTATATAATATAGTGAATAGAGAAAAAAAAAAAAACTTTTAAAAATTCATAAAGCTCAAATTTTACACCACAGAATTTTTTGTAAAGTTATAGTTTATTAATTTAGTCCTTGATTAATATTTCTGCAAGGTGCTAGGATATTAATACATGGGCTACAATACCTTTCTCCAGTCTTTAAAGAAATTTTTCCTAAATATTTCCTTAGTAGTATATTCATGGTCGAGCATTTTTGCAAAGAAGGTAGCTACTTCTTCTGCTTTGGGGCTCAGCTTCATGACTTTACCTAGAGGAAAAAGCGGTTCCAAAAATTGAGGTGTGTAATTCATGTTTTGAGTATAAATACTAAGCTCTGGAGAAGTCTTCTAACGGATGGTTTACCTTCCCAAGGTATAAAAAGGTCTGATGACACATGGTAACAACAACAACAAAGACAATACAGTGATTTATATCTAGTTGTATAAATTCTCCTTCTCTTTAGCAGATATTTACCTGGGTCATTCTCTGGAGACTATGCCAGTAAACTGTTCCCAGGTGCCTGCTCAGGACAGGGATGAGCTGGGGGAGGCCCAGCCACTCTTCCTTTTCCTTTCAGCAAGCAGGGTCCTTTACACCTCTTCAATGGTTTTTAAAAATCAAATCCTCAGAGGGACTCCTGCCACTGCTAAGCTAAGCAGCCTCTGTTCAAGAAGGGGAGGAAGGGATAGGGCAGGGAGTGGAAGAAAGGAATTGTGGGGAAAAGAAATAGGCATCTTTCTTCTTTAAAGTTAGGTGGGTGGAATATGAATAAAATAATATATATCCATAGCAGGCAAGCCCAGATATCCCACATGAAAAATCTAAATAAGACCTTCCTCTAGAACTTTTGTACTCAAAGTGTGGTTCACAGACCAGCAGCATTGGCATCACGTGGGAGTTCTGTTAGAAATGCAGAATCTCTGGGGCACCTGAGTGGCGCAGTCGACTGGGCATCTGACTCTCGGTTTCGGCTCAGGTCATGATCTCAGGGTCGTGAGATCGGGCCCTGCCTTGGGCTCCATGTTCAGTGGGAAGTCTGCTTAAGACTCTGCTGCTGCCTCTCACCACCCATGCTCTCAATCTCTCAAATCAATCAATCAATCTTAAAAAAAAAAAAATGCAGAATCTCAGGCCCCACCCCAGATCTACAGGTTCAGCAAGTGCATTTTAAGAGACCTTCAGCTGGCACGTGTGCATAGTAGAGCTTGAGATGACTGTTCTGGAACACAGACACTTTGAGGTTGCCTCTTTCAAAGAAATAAGACTTCCAGAGCACAAGGGATGACTGGGGTTCTTGGTAGTGTGGACATGTTAGTAAAAGCTTTTCTAAAGGAATCCTGATGTTACACAATGAAAACTGCTAACTTGTAAAGTAAATCTGAATGAGGCCTAGGGGTTTTGTGTATACCTAATTAGTAATAAAGGGAAGTACTTGGGAGTTTAATCTACTTTTCAAATACAGTATTTTTAACAGTACTCTCAGGGCCAATTTCCACTTTTTTCTTGACTATCCAACTTTACAACACCATCTAGAACTAATCCATGGCATAATAATTTGAATATACCTAAAATGAGGTTAAACACCATTCCACTGCCTTACTATTACACAGGTACTAGTAATTCACCAAGGATTTTCACTTTCATTATAGAAAACTAAAACTTAACCAGAAACCCATTCATTTCAAAACTCAGAAGACATCTCATTTCATGATGGTTGGAAGTTATCACCCCTAATTGCAGGGATGAAGGGAATTGTGGCACAAAACTGAAATTGCCAGGGTAGACAGGAAGAACCTGCTTGAAATCCGTAACTCAAATGGCCAACAGGTGGCGCCACTTTCCCCTTTCAACCCCCCCCTTAACTGCCTTTGCAAGAAGACACTTTGGGGAGGATAGGGTTATTAGCTTTCAAGGGTTTCCTGTACTTCTTTGGATCTCCCCAACTCAGTCTGAACTAGAGTTGCCAGTAAAGTTGTAACATGCTTCTAATATAAAGGAAAACATTTAAGTCATCAAAAATAAATGAAATAAAAGGCACGAAAGAATTTAACTGTTCTTGGGTCTGTTTGGCATAAACTGGTATCAACAAATATTTGAAAAACAAAAAAATGGAGACTCTTTGGTCAATTTTACTGAATTCTGTACCAATAGAGGAAGCAATTTTGATGCCTCCTGTTATAGATGAGCCATAAAAAGAGGAAATGACAGCTCCCCCAGCAGTAGAGTGGTGGGAGGATGACTTGAAGGTTCCTGGCAATGGGAGCACTTTGTGGAAAAGGCTGAGCTCCAGGAAGAAGAAACTGCTGAGTCAGAGCTGAAAAGTGGAGGTTCTCAGCAGAGGCAAGTCACTGCTTCAGCCAGCCTGTGCCCCACCTCCCTGGCAGGTCCAAAGGACTCTGGAGAACTCTCTTCCCTAAAGAGTAGGCAGGACTTACAGTATCAATTTGGACTTCAAATACAACATCCTGACTTACTACAGAGTGGGAGTTTACACAATCAAAAAGGGAAGAAATCCCAGCAAGAAACAACTGAGAAATTGATACAGCTGGAGTTCCTATAATGGAGGACTGGGTAAGAATGGAGGAAGGGACCAGAGTGACCAGTGATGCCTGGCTCAGGCCTTGGCTTCTCATCTTGAAAAGAGAAACCCAGGGGCGCCTGGGTGGCTCAGTTGGTTAGTGTCCAACTCTTGGTTTCCATCCAGGTTGTGGTCTCAGAGTCATGAGATCTGAGCCTTGCGTCAGGCTCTGCGCTCAGTGTGGAGTTTGCTAGGGACTCTCTCTCCCACTCTCCTTTTGCCCCTCCCCCTCCTCTCACTGTAAAATAAAAATCTTTAAAAATAAATAAATAAATGAGAGGGAGAGAGAGAGAGAGAGAACCCAGAGACTAGAGAACCTAGCTTTCCTTTAAATCATTTTGAACCTCAAAGTGGGGTTTTCCTAGTTGAGCTTTCTAAAGCTCTTGGTAAGCCAAGACTTGAGCTACAGAATACATGGACTTCCAGGATTGTCTTCTTCAAGGTTCTAGGCTCTTTTTCCTCATTGGAGTTTGGCTTTGGAGTCATACCTGAGCATCTCCAGGAATGACCAACTATGTGTGCTCTGGTCAACACTAGTCAGAATGTTTATCTGATGCAAGCATTTGTCATTGAGGACATGCAATCAGGGTATTGTCCACTGCTGGGTCTTGATGTTTAACACAGGTACACTGAATAACCAGTGTTTTAAAAAATGAATTCCAGCTGGCCAAGTTTAACATGTCCATTTGCAAGACCCAGCCTTTCAGTATAAACTATTACCCTTTATCTATAAGTATCTGTGGCCCTAAGGTCACTGCTGGTGGACAAAGAGATGCACCAGAACTCACCACTGATGCCTTTCAGCAGTTTTCCTGCCCAGTATTTCTCAAAGTTTGGTGAGCAGACCACTTGGTTTAAAAGCACCCAATACTATTATTCTACCTCTATTAAATGAGCCCAGATCTACCCGGTGAATCTTAAGCACATAGGGTTTGAGGGAAAATGCTCTAGCCCTTTCTGGGTAGAACTCTTGGAATGAGGGAGGTCATCTGAGCATTCCCATCTGCATAGTGCTACACTGCAAACAGGAAGAGTGTCAAAGACAGACTCTTAAATTCTTCTACTCAAGGACAGAAATACCAATGGTAGTTAATGGATAATTCTGAGTGTTCTAAGAGAACCAGGCAGGGCACTTCTTCACGGCAGCTCCTAAAATCTGACTGCACATAAAGGTATAGTGTTGTGCTACAATATATACTTAGTGATAGACACTTACCAGCCCTACCTAGAGGTTGATGGCTAATTAATCTTCAACCAAATACTAGTACTATTTCTTATCATGAACAGCTTGTCAGCTTACACTGTATTGCTAAAGTAAAATACTACCATTTAAGTAAGGCTTTTCTAATAAATCTTACAAAGAGTAGCTCCTCAGAAATGAAGTTCAGATAAAAACATTTAACTTGGGGGGGGGGGGGCGCCTGGGTGGCTCAGTCGTTAAGCGTCTGCCTTTGGCTCAGGTCATGATCTCCAGGTCCTGGGATCGAGCCCCGCATCGGGCTCCCTGCT